GATAATTGGTATATAGTTTTATCATGACAAGTTACAGATCAAGTTCGAATTTTGGTCCAGTCTAATGATTTTGTGCAGAGTACTGGTCCTTGGACTTAGAAAATTCACTCATATAATCAGTTTTCCTCACTTTTTTTCGTCATGCTTGAAGATATTGTCATGATAATTGGTATATAGTTTTATCATGACAAGTTACAGATCAAATTCGAATTTTGTTCCGGTCTGATGATTTTATGCAGAGGTATGGTCCTTGGACTTAGAAAATTCATTTAAATAATCAGTTTTCCTCATTTTTTTTCGTCATGCTTGAAGATATTTACTTGATATTTGTTATTTAGTTGATATCATGACAAGTTATAGATCTAGTTAGCATTTTGTTCCAGTACAATGAATTTTTAACTGGTAGGGAACTATGTATTGCTAGGCAATACTCTCAAAATGCTTGTTTTTATTGTGTATAAATATTGCTAATTTAAATCAGAACCGAAGTACTTTATGTATTTGGTTTTATGGTCTTCACTCCTTTAAGTTCTGCCCCTAATCCTAGTCACCATCAGGTCTTATTGGCTGACTTAAGACAATTGTTCTTATCCTGACACTATGCATGAAATATTTGCCACCGTGTTCAGCAACCATTAGCTCACCTGGACCGAAGGGCCAAGTGAGCTTTTCTCATCACTTGGCGTCCGTCGTCCGTCGCAGTCGTCGTCGTCGTCCGTCGTCGTTAGGTTTTTACAAAAATCTTCTTCTCTGAAACCACTGGGCCAAATTCAACCAAACTTGGCCACAATCATCCTTAGGGTATCTAGTTTAAAAAATGTGTCCGATGACCCCGCCAACCAACCAAGATGGCCGCCATGGCTAAAAATAAAACATAGGGGTAAAATGTAGATTTTGGCTTATATCTCTGAAACCAAAGCATTTAGAGTAAATCTGACATAGGGTAAAACTGATTATCAGGTCAAGATCTATCTGCCCTGAAATTTTCAGACAAATCTGACAACCTGTTGTTGGGTTGCTGCCCCTGAATTGGTAATTTTAAGGAAATTTTGCAGTTTTTGGTTATTATCTTGAATATTATTATAGATAGAGATAAACTGTAAACAGCATTAATGTTCAGCAAAGTAAGATCTACAAATAAGTCAACATTACAACATGACCAAAATTGTCAATTGACTCCTTAAGGAGTTGTTGCCCTTTATAGTCAATTTTTAACAACTTTTCGTAAATTTTTGTAATCTTGTACAAAATTCTTCTCCTCTGAAACTACTTTGCCAAAAAGATGATCAGCAAGACAAGTTCTTCAAATAGACCAACATGGTTGAAATCGTCAATTGACTCCTTATTAGAGTTATTGCCATTTGATGATGATTTTGACCATTTTTTTGCATTTTTGCCTTATATCTTAAAACTATAATAGACAGATAGAATCTTAGCAAGGCAAAAATGATCAGCAAAACAAAATCTACAATGAAGACAATATGGAGGAAATGGTCAGACGACTCCTTATTGGAGTTATTGCCCTTTAAAGACGATTTTCACCTTTTATTTTTGCGTTTTGTCATATATGATAGAAAATTATAATAGATAAAGATACACTTTAAATCACAAAAATGATCAGCAAGTCAAGATCTACTAACTAGTCTAATTTTGTCGATATAATTAAGTAGACTGTGACTCTTTATAGGAGTGATTGCCCTAAAATGAGGATTTTTTTTATCCTCTTTTGTGTTTTGAGCAAAAACTAAAGAAGATAGAGAGAAACTAAACAGACTAAATGATCAGCAATACAAGATCAACAAAACAGAGATTTTTGTCATGAATTCTATTCTCGTCTACAATGTTGGAGCGTGTCCTTTGTTGAATATGCACATAGACCAAGGTGAGCGACTAGAGCCTCTAGTTTAAAATAAGCCATTAGAGAGTTTTAACCAAAATTTGAAACCCGATGAATGTTTAAACTAGTTATATTAGTATCATGTGGGATATTTGTATTTGTTAATGAGCATATTTGCCAAAGCTATCATATGAAATAGTACCAAATCATTTAATGAGTTTTGGGAACTTCTTAGGTTGGCAAAAAATAGATCTTAAACTCTAGAACTGCTAATTAGTATTCTCGAATTAGCTACAGAAATTATATCACACATTGGAGTAGAAATATAGCTACCAAAAGTATATTAAGTAGAGGAGTTAGTTACTCTTCTAGTTGTCTCAGTCAAAATAATTATTATAGATAACTGAATTTCTGCTTTAAAAATGTTAAACATTGTGGAATAAATCAAGACTTATTTAATGAGAGTAAAAGTTAGCAAGAAAATCCAATCATTCATTTTGTTTATGAACGATAATTGACTATAAAACCAATAATAATTATAACAAATATTTTTATGCCCACCCTGTAGCGGAGGGGGCATTAAGTTTTACCCTTGTCCGTCTGTACGTCCGTACGTACGTCCCAAAGTTGGTTTCCGTTCTCTAACTGTAGTTTGCCTCAACCAAATGTTATGAAACTTATACACAATGCTTATTACCACAAAACACAGGTCGAGTTTGAATTTCGGTTGCGTCACTTAATTCGTTATAGAGTTATGCCCTTTACAAATTGAAAAATTGCTGAATTTTTGGTTTCTATTCTCTAACTTTAGTTTGCCTCAACCAAATGTTATGAAACTAATATACACTATGCTTACTACCAAAAAAAAAAACAGATCGAGTTGGAATTTCAGTTGCATCACGTCTACTGTTCTAGAGTTATGCCCCTTTACAAATGGAAAAATAAGGGAAATTTTTCATTTCTGTTCTCTTTCTTTAGTTTGCCTCAACCAAATGTTATGAAACTTATTCACAATGCTTATTACCAAAAAAACACAGATTGAGTTTGAATTTCGGTGGCGTCACATCTACCGTTCTAGAGTTATGCACAGTGCTTATTCCCAGGGAACTCAGATCAAGTACAAATTTAGGTAGCGTCACTTTTACCGTTTATGTTATGTCCTATTATAACGTTGTATGCAAGCGGGGGCATCATCTGTGTCCATGGGGATACATTCCCCATTTATTTTTTTTTGTTATAAATATTGCTAATTTTAACCAGAAGAACTCTATTTTTTTGTTTTTTTGCTCTCCATTCCTTTTAAGTTCTGACCTTAATCCCAGTAATCTTCAGGTCTTATCAATTTTTCCTATTCTTAATATGCTTGAAATATTTGCCACTGTGTTCAGCAAGAATGATGAAATTAAAGAAAAATGAACAAAAAACAAAAGGTTTAAAAGTAACACTTTTCCTGCAGTGTCTTTCCTAATGGATTAAATGCACTAGTGTAAAAATTACATGACTGGTTTTCATGAGTCTTATTTCAATTTGAAAAAACATATATGTGTAAAGATGAAATACAAAACTAGGGTAATTCATTTTTTACAGCTGAATGAAAGTATTGTTAATATGCACATACTAAATATGAAAATAGAAAAGATAGTAACTTCAGTTGATAAAAGTACTGATGCACAGAAAAGGTTGTCTTCCTAGAATGTACATGGGTAGAATCAAAGGAGGTCATTTTAATTTATATCATGCTTAGACATTGTCTTGTTTCACAGACGTTGCTAGGTAATGAAAAAGCAGGGTAACACTTTCTGTTTTGGATTCCAAGCATTTAAGAAGTTTGTCTGGTGGAAGGGGGGAATATACAACATGATTTATTACGTAATAAATGTCCTCATATCATTTGATATGAAAGCTATTAGTTTGGTAATAACTGGGTATACAACTTTTAAATCCTCGTCAAGTAGCATTTGATGACAGATATTAGACACTCAGTATTGTTGTAAATCTTTTGAAAATCATTTGTAGTAACTTCCATTCCTCTTCAAACACTCATCACACACCAAATAAAGTCAATACTTAATGGTAGAAAAAGATAAATTGAGGCGAATTTATGCAGCTAGATTACAGATTGATATGAAAATCATTGATTCATTACAATGGTTTAGGTCTACAGCAGTTTAAACATTGGTGCACACATATTAATTTGTTGGTATTAAAACATTTCCATACAGATTGTATTTTGCCAGAGATCACCCTTATAGGAGATTATGTCATTTGTTTTCTGGTGGATAGTTCTCTCATTGGCAATCATACCATATCTTCTTTTTTTTGCAGTTAGAATTAACATACAATCTCAGATAACATATTTTAGACTCATGGAATGTTTTGAAACTTTGAAATAAGCTTCTTCAATATCAAGAAATAGCTTTTGATGAAAAAAGTTCGAACTTTTGGGATTTTGTTCTGTATTTAACAGTTAAATGGTCTTAGTTCTTGGCAACAACATTACACTTTTACACTGATAGCAGCAATAGCAGGCGAGACACTGTAGAATCTTTTACAATTTTTTTTATTATATTTGGACCCAGTTACTATAGATTTATTATTTGTTGCGATTTTGGAAAAATGAGCAAAAATGTGTGATTTATTATTGTGATTTCAGGAAAAGCTGAATACATATATATGTATCAGATATCCGAATGGGAGTTCTTATTATTGCGTTATTCACCCAGTCGCATTAATAAAAATCTCACAATAATTTCTGAATTTACAGTTACATGTTTGAAAAGATTCATTGCTGAATTTATATTGATAATTTTATGTGAATTCTAATAAATTCTATTGACACACCTATAGTCAGGGGAATTGGGCCTGAACCCCCTTAAAAACAAAAAAAATATGATTAAACTTGATGTTCAGATTGAAGTTTTGATTGTTATAGTCATCACCTCATGACCCCAAATATCTCCCATGAGAAACTACCTGGCTATGGGGTTGATTGAAATTTACAAATCATAATATGTTTGAAGTTCTAGCATGTTTCTCCAGTTAGATCATGTAGATAGACTTGTTGGTTGGATTTAAACAGAAATACAGTATTTCAGTGCCACTTACCTAAAATGATAGTATTTTCTCTTCACTAATATTTATACTTTTAGTTTTATTTTAACAGTTACGCCAGGCATCAGAGAACAAAAGAAGACAAAGTTTTGAAAACCCAGAAAACATTGAAAAGTAAGTGGAATTACAGATAGAATTAAGAATTTTCTTTAGTAAGGCCTAGATGCTCCTGACTGTTTAAACTCAGGGCTTCAGTATCCAACATTGTTTCAGTATGGTATGATGTAAAAAAAAATATTTTGGCTAGAATGCAATTAATTTTCTATATCTGTTTAACATACAAAATGATTCATTTTCGTTCTGTCTTTTAAAAAAGGCTTAAGGTAATTTTTCTTCGTAAAAAAACCATTTTAAATTCGCTTCAAATTAACATGACAAACCTATATAAACATTTTTACAAAAGAATCAATTCAAGACAACTTTCTAAGACTTGGAAGTATTGAAGATGAATGTACAGCTTTTCCCATGAAATCTTTTCTGAAACTGAATCTTGACTGAAACTATAAGATATTTCTTTATTGAAAAGAATTTAAAACTAACACACATTATTTATTAAGATATTCTCCCTAGCTTTGGGGAGGTACTTGTTTGGTGCAGTGCTTTGTTGAGTAGTAAGCAGAGAGTTATTTATTATTTGAATATTATTTAATTTTGGGCCTTATATAGTTTGCTATGCAGTATGGGGTTCGATCACTGTTGAAGGATATACGTTGACCTTTAGTTTCTAACTTCAACCTCATTTGGTCTATGGTGGAGCGTTGTCTCATTTGCAATCATACCACATCTTATTTTTAAGTTTACTTATGATTCATAATTCCATGAATGTGTATAGGCTTTTGCAGTATTTTGAAAGGAACAGGTTAATACAATATAATTAAGATGTTAAGGTAGAAACATTGACTCTTTTTAATCTTTGATGATGGAAAATATTGATAAATTCTTTTCCAAACAATATATATTGTAAGGGAAGCAACTCTATTTACATTTAGACATGGGTACAGTATGGTGTAAAATTTGTACAACAAACATATATTGTAAGGGAAGCAACTCTATTTAGACATTGGTACAGTAGAGTGACCTCATCCTGATTGTTCTTATAAGTTAGATCATTGAATATTCACAGGACCTCCATCCCAATTGTTCTTATAAGTTAGAGCATTGAATATTCACAGTACTTCTATCCCAATTGTTCTTATAAGTTAGAGCATTGAATATTTACAGGACCTCCATCCTGACTGTTCTTATAAGTTAGATCATTGAATATTCACAGTACCTCCATCCCAATTGTTCTTATAAGTTAGATCATTGAATATTCACAGAACTTCCATCCCAATTGTTCTTATAAGTTAGATCATTGAATATTCACAGGACCTCATCCTGACCTTTCTTATAAGTTAGAGCATTAAATATTCACAGGACCCCCATCCTGACTGTTCTTATAAGTTAGATCATTGAATATTCACAGTACCTCCATCCCAATTGTTCTTATAAGTTAGAGCATTGAATATTCACAGGACCTCCATTCTGATTGTACTTATAAGTAAGAGCATTGAATATTCACAGGACCTCATCCTGACTGTTCTTATAAGTTAGAACATCTAATACTCACAGGACCTCATCCTGATTGTTCTTATAAGTTAGATCATTGAATATTCACAGTACCTCCATCCCAATTGTTCTTATAAGTTAGAGCATTGAATATTCACAGGACCTCCATTCTGATTGTACTTATCAGTAATAGCATTGAATATTCACAGGACCTCATCCTGACTGTTCTTATAAGTTAGAGCATTGAATATTCACAGGACCTCCATCCTGACTGTTCTTATAAGTTAGATCATTGAATATTCACAGTACCTCCATCCCAATTGTTCTTATAAGTTAGAGCATTGAATATTCACAGGACCTCCATCCTGACTGTTCTTATAAGTTAGATCATTGAATATTCACAGAACTTCCATCCCAATTGTTCTTATAAGTTAGATCATTGAATATTCACAGGACCTCATCCTGACCTTTCTTATAAGTTAGAGCATTAAATATTCACAGGACCCCCATCCTGACTGTTCTTATAAGTTAGATCATTGAATATTCACAGTACCTCAATCCCAATTGTTCTTATAAGTTAGAGCATTGAATATTCACAGGACCTCCATTCTGATTGTACTTATAAGTAAGAGCATTGAATATTCACAGGACCTCATCCTGACTGTTCTTATAAGTTAGAACATCGAATACTCACAGGACCTCATCCTGATTGTTCTTATAAGTTAGATCATTGAATATTCACAGTACCTCCATCCCAATTGTTCTTATAAGTTAGAGCATTGAATATTCACAGGACCTCCATTCTGATTGTACTTATCAGTAATAGCATTGAATATTCACAGGACCTCATCCTGACTGTTCTTATAAGTTAGAGCATTGAATATTCACAGGACCTCCATCCTGACTGTTCTTATAAGTTAGATCATTGAATATTCACAGTACCTCCATCCCAATTGTTCTTATAAGTTAGAGCATTGAATATTCACATGACCTCCATTCTGATTGTACTTATAAGTAAGAGCATTGAATATTCACAGGACCTCATCCTGACTGTTCTTATAAGTTAGAGCATTGAATATTCACAGGACCTCATCCTGACTGTTCTTATAAGTTAGAACATTGAATACTCACAGGACCTCATCCTGATTGTTCTTATAAGTTAGATCATTGAATATTCACAGTACCTCCATCCCAATTGTTCTTATAAGTTAGAGCATTGAATATTCACAGGACCTCCATTCTGATTGTACTTATAAGTAAGAGCATTGAATATTCACAGGACCTCATCCTGACTGTTCTTATAAGTTAGAGCATTGAATATTCACAGGACCTCTATCCTGACTGTTCTTATAAGTTAGATCATTGAATATTCACAGTACCTCTATCCCAATTGTTCTTATAAGTTAGAGCATTGAATATTCACAGGACCTCATCCTGACTGTTCTTATAAGTTAGAGCATTGAATATTCACAGTACCTCCATCCCAATTGTTCTTATAAGTTAGATCATTGAATATTCACTGGACCTCATCCTGACTGTTCTTATAAGTTAGAGCATTGAATATTCACAGTACCTCCATCCCAATTGTTCTTATAAGTTAGAGCATTGAATATTCACAGGACCTCCATTCTGATTGTACTTATAAGTAAGAGCATTGAATATTCACAGGACCTCATCCTGACTGTTCTTATAAGTTAGAACATCGAATACTCACAGGACCTCATCCTGATTGTTCTTATAAGTTAGATCATTGAATATTCACAGTACCTCCATCCCAATTGTTCTTATAAGTTGGAGCATTGAATATTCACAGTACCTCCATCCCAATTGTTCTTATAAGTTAGAGCATTGAATATTCACAGGATCTCCATTCTGATTGTACTTATAAGTAAGAGCATTGAATATTCACAGGACCTCATCCTGACTGTTCTTATAAGTTAGAACATCGAATACTCACATGACCTCATCCTGATTGTTCTTATAAGTTAGATCATTGAATATTCACAGTACCTCCATCCCAATTGTTCTTATAAGTTAGAGCATTGAATATTCACAGGACCTCCATTCTGATTGTACTTATCAGTAATAGCATTGAATATTCACAGGACCTCATCCTGACTGTTCTTATAAGTTAGAACATCGAATACTCACAGGACCTCATCCTGATTGTTCTTTTACGTTAGATCAGTGAATATTCACAGTACCTCCATCTCAATTGTTCTTATAAGTTAGAGCATTGAATATTCACAGTACTTCCATCCCAATTGTTCTTATAGGTTAGATCATTGAATATTCACAGGACCTCATCCTGACTGTTCTTATAAGTTAGAGCATTGAATATTCACAGGATCTCCATCCTGACTGTTCTTATAAGTTAGATCATTGAATATTCACAGTACCTCCATCCCAATTGTTCTTATAAGTTAGAGCATTGAATATTCACAGGACCTCCATCCTGACTGTTCTTATAAGTTAGATCATTGAATATTCACAGTACCTCCATCCCAATTGTTCTTATAAGTTAGAGCATTGAATATTCACAAGACCTCTATCCCTATTGTTCTTATAAAATTAGAGCATTGAATATTCACCGGACCTCATCCTGACTTTTCTTATTATATGAGCATTGAATATTCACAGGACCTCCATCTTGACTGTTATTATAAGTAAGATCATTGAATATTCACAGGACCTCATCCCAATTGTTCTTATAAGTTAGAGCATTTAATATTTACAGGACCTCTATCCCTATTGTTCTTATAAGTAAGAGCATTGAATATTCACAGGACCTCTATCTTAATTGTTCTTATAAGTAAGAACATATCTTGTTATTACTCAAATTTGCTTCATTGGATCTTCCTGTTATTTTTAAATTGTGTTTGGTTAAAGGAAGACAACCTTCCTTTTTTAATTTTACAATTTTTAATTTAATTAATACATTTTGATTGAAAACATGTTGACAGTCTGAACATGTTTCATGATAACACAGATTTGTTTTATTTGATATTTTAAATTGTCCATTTAGAATTATTGGACTTTTATTTGTTTTAAGATAGGTCATTTGTTTTTTGTTCTTTCTTTTAACTAATTCCATTATTTTGTATTACAATCTTTCAATCAGTAAGAGCTACTCCCTTTTAGATTTTGAATTTTTCAGATTTATTGTATAGTTATAGGACTTAAATGATTGAAATAAGGGGGTGGGTGTATTATGTGTTCACCAAATATAGTAGTTAACTGTGTAAAATCTTTTTTAGAATTGCAGGGTTTTATGTACTTGAATCACTTGAAAATCAGTTGAGTTTTTATTTTTTTCTTACCAATATTCTTTTGAAACAATTCAAAAAATTCCTGCAAAAAGTAAGTAATGTTAAGAATGGTTACTTGGTGTTATCCTGAAAAATCTCTACAAAGCTTTTTTTGTGTGTGACTAAGCTATAGATGCTAAGAATATTTAGCCTTAAGTAATTCACCTATCCTGACAAGCTTTAAATAGTTTCCTTAGATTTTGTTGCTAAAAACAAAAGCTACAAATTAAGAAATATTTAATAAAATTGTCATATCTT